AAAAAAAAAAAAAAAAAAAAAAAGGTGTTCTACTCAGTTTGGTGAGTAAGGAGAAGCAGTTATGCTTCTTTGAATTCTCACACTCCCATCATACAGAGCAAGCTGGAGATTATCTTCTAGATAAAGGATATCAAATAACAGCATACATTCCAATACTCCCTATCTTGTGACTTTGGCAGGCATCACCAATCAATCACGACACTCTTAGCTTGTAAGTCTAGACCCCCTTCTCTAGATAGTGGTTCTGGTAGCTACTACTAACGGATGAGAGTTGGTCCAACAGATGACATAATTTGTAACTCTGATTGGACATACTCCCTCAGAACATCTGGTTTCTATAGCTGTCATGGGCTCTGACACTCAGTGAGTTTCCACATGGTAGTCCCAGACCCCCTTACCTGGGAGTGCAGTAGCTGCACGCGCTCACTGGTCTCGATCAGCTCCTGCTCGGCCAGCTTCCGAGACCGCTCTGTCTGCTCCACCACGGCCCGCAGCTCCTCCAGCTCGGCCTGCAGCAGTGTGTTGCGCCGCTCCACGATGGCGATGTTCTCCTTCAGGTCGTCGTTAGCCCGGACCGCGTCATCCAGCTGGATCTGGGTGTCCTGAGGGTCCGGAGAATGGTCATGAGACAGGGAGCCCTTGGTGCCCTTTCCAAGGGTATTGGGTTGAACTGGAGCACCCACTGCGGTGGCTCAGGAGGGGCCTGGAGGAGGTCTGTGCCATGACCCAGGGGCGGGAGGGCTCTGGGGCCTCCAGATCCAGAGGTCACTCCACTTAACCAGGCCTGCAGAGGCCTGTGCCCTCTCTGGATGAGGCGGCCTCCTGCTCCGCATCTCCATGTACCTTCAGCAAGCTCTGGAGGCTCTTGACTTGCTTCTGGGCCTCGGCGGCCAGGCGGTTGGCATGACTGAGCTGGATCTCCATCTCGTTGAGGTCGCCCTCCATCTTCTTCTTCACCCGCAGGGCCTCGTTGCGGCTGCGCGTCTCCGCGTCCAGGGAGGTCTGCAGCGAGTCCACCACCCGCAGGTGGTTGCGCTTGGCCTGCTCCATCTCCTCGTCCTTCTCTGCCAGCTTGCGCTCGATCTCTGCCTTGATCTGGTTGAACTCGAGCTGGGCCCGGAGGATCTTGCCCTCCTCATGCTCCAGGGAGGCCTGGGAGGGGCCGGGGAG